AGATGAGGAGTTTAGTCCATTTTAAGCTCCTTCTGGCGCAACATTTGGAATCTCATGCACTCAGGACACTGCTTAGTAATAGCTTTCAGGAGCATGCTGTTGGCATTTGTGCTTCTTGTGCTGATGGCGAGGCAGAGAAAAAGATTTTGTATAACATAGTGCCCTGATGAAATGATCTTAATGGATACTCAGGTATAAATGACTGCTGAGGCTGGGCAGGGGCAGCAAGGAGGTGTCTGGTCACATCAGGTGTGTTCTGTGCACTTTGGGCTGCACTGCAGCCTGGCATTAGGCAGCTCACATTGCCTTTGGGAGGCTGTTGCTCTTTGCAGCTGGCTAGTAGTTCAGATTTAAATAGTTTCAAGCAGGAGTTGTCTCATTTAAAAAATGAATCTGCTGAGGAAATCCCATGTTCATCACAATTTTTTTTACTAAGAAGGAAACAATACGCCAACATATCTACTATGTCGACATCAAGTGTTTAAGCATATCAAGAAACCTTGGATAAAACCCAGAATACTGACAGGATCTTCCATGAACAGCTTTGGTTTATAAGCCTTGCCCTATAGTACAATTAGGTTTTCTCCCTACTGTTATGTAAGGAACAAATGCTTTTTTGGTGAATCAGAAGCCACTGAGAAGGAAGGAACCACATCTTCCTGGCCCTAAAGGTGCTGCACAAAGCTGACTGATGGGGCAAGGTGACAGGATGTCAGAGTCAGAATGGGGGGACATGAGGAAGGTCAGGCTTTCTGACCTCGAGCAGTACTCATTGGAATTCTTAATAAAATTATGAGCACAGAAATGATACAAATGGCTGGAAAGTCTTCGTAAGTAGGGGAAGGAGGAACATGGGAGCTCACAAATGGGAGAGGTAGCAAACTGCCAGAGTAAAGGGGCAAAGTGGAAAGCAGCATCTACTTGGTTCATCTTCGTAATGTCATGTAAATACAAGCACTGCTCTTCACTGTTCTCCTTTAATATCTCTTCCTTGTTGATAATGATATGGCAATTCTCGTGCAGCAGAAACTAGGTTCTTTTACCTGGAATTAAATAATGTAAGAACTATACAGGTTTTACTTTTCCTGTTCATTGTGTAGAGAGTAGTGTTGAAGTTGCTCTTTTCTTAGTCTGGAAGGTAAAGTATATTTTATGGGTTTGTTTGAACTTTAATAGAATCTGTTATGCTGATTCATGTTTCCTAACATCTGTTTCAGCTATATGATTTCACTGGAAGGTACAGTCTTCAGGAGAAAGGAAATCACTTCATGATCTGTTGTTCATGCAAATGTTCTTGCTTCTGCAGGTGGCAAGGGAAAACAGATGTTTCTGGAAAGCAAGATTTGTTCTTGCTGTGTTATGGGTACTTTAGGAAGTACTACTTGCTTATATCATGTAATCCAAGAATGCCTCATCTTCTCTGTGGGATAAAGTTTGCAAGAAATAATGTCTCTTGTAAGATCAGTTGATAGTCTTAGAAAAACAGACAAGTATTGGCAAGCTGTTTTTCCTTAGTTGTACCTATGTGTTTTAGGAAACCATTGTGGCTGCACCAATTTGTTGCCTTATCCCTTCCAATCTTGTTTTCATTTACTGTTTCTCAAGAATCAATTTCATCTTGGGTTACATTATCATATCTTAGTCAGCATGGAACTGTTGCTTACTGCCTGCTTTATGAATGTTATGCTGTGATGCTAAATGTCTCACGCAGCTGGACTTGAATTTTTTGCTGGGAAGTTGTATCACTGAATCTGAATCTCAGCCCTTTTCTTCAGTTCATCTTTATTTCCCCCTCCGTTAGCTTACACATTTCCTCAAGCTCTGTGTTTGTGCATTTGGGATGTGTCCATCTATCACCCTCAGTTGTTGAGGTTTTTGTTGTTTGTTTTTCTTGTGTGTGAGTGTGCAGTGGACCAACGGAAGATTATGGGAGTAGAAAACATCCAGAAATCAGCTTTCTGTGTGAAATCTGATTAATGTGAACAGGCAGTGGAGCTCGTATTTTAAAACATGGGACCATAGTTAAGCTGGACAGAATCTGCCCTTGTCCTTACATGTCTCCAAAGAATTCATTTCCTGTTGTTGGAGGAGTGAGACACCTCTCCAGGGAGTGCTGCTTTTGGATCTGCAGGGCAAGTACATTGCTTGCTTGTTTTCTTATGGCCCACATAAGCTTTCCTGGCTATTTCAGCTGTTGCCCTTGACACAAGTTAACAGCATTGGGTACCCCAACTGTCTACCTTATCTATCACATTTTTTCCTTTTACAGCATAGGTGAATGAGAAGGCTGAGCTATATTTCAGCTGTAGCATCGTACTTGAATGGCTTTTGCACAGGCTATTATCTGCTGCATTGCAAATATTTTCATTCCCATTTTCATAATTGTTCTACTGTTACAGGAAGGTAGATGACATCAAAACATGCTTTCCTCTGTGAAGTCTGACGACAGGTTTACATATTAGACTTTGCCTTAGCCTTTAGAGTTGAGTACTCCTTATGTCTGCACCACCAGGATCAGGAAGGTTGCGTGCAGCCTGTGCAGTGAAGTGTGCTTGCTGGTTTTGCAGTGACTCACAAAGCCTGAATTCAAAGTAATGTGGCTGTTGTGATGATGCTGGGTGGAGCAGGAATCAGCTAAGGCACATGCTAAATCACATGGGGACAAACAGGCCTCGGCTGAATATATAATCGCGTTGGCTCTCCTTCATTTTGAAATGAAAGCTGCGTTGATCTGTCTTACCTATTCAAAACTTGGAATGAAAGCAGCTTGAAGCTGATGAGGCAGTGAGTTTTATCCATGGACCTCTAGACGAGGAGGAGATGAGGATGATGTGGATGTGTAACGTGGTGAGAACATTTCAAAAATGCTGCAGTCAAATTGGTTTATGCAGCAGGTTACATTACTCAGCAGGACTGGGCGCTTTCAAAGAAGGCTGAAGAGGCAGGCAATGTGGGAACCATGTTAAAGCAGCTCTTTCACCCAGTTTCATGTGTGATGCTTCTCTCCTGCTTAATCTGCCATTTGTTTTATGAGTTTTTGCAGACAGTCTCTGAAGTGGGTGAAGGGCTTGGGGCACCTTTTGCCTAGGGCGAAATGTCTTTGCCTGATTGCCTGGTACAGGCTCAGTGTAACACCTTTCTCTGAAGTTAGAATGGAGCAGCAGGTGATTGATCTGGCTGGAGATGTCAGTTGGAAAGCAGATCTCAGGAATAGGGAGAAGCAAATGTATGTCACCTGGTAGTCCAGCAGTTCATCCTTCTGTCTTTCCCCAACTACTGAGACACAGTGTTGTTTTAACAGAGTTGCACAAATGCCATGAATCTTAACTGCTGAATATCATCCAAGAAGGATGATACCTGTGTAAAAATCTTAAAGATTTCTAAAGGAAATGTGCTGTTAGGATGTATTGCATCTTTGATTTATTATTTAAATCTAGGTTTCCTGCTTCATCCGTGATCAGGTACAGATGTGCTCAGATTCACAAGGAGTCGGTTACAGCTTTCCTGCTCTTTGTGTGAGTTTGTTCCCTCCCCTGGGTTCAGCTCAGGCCACCTGGCACCCTCCTCTTTGGAAACTACTGGTTGTTGGAGGTAGCCAGATCCCAGTGTACTCATGAGTTTTTTCTCTCACTAAATACTCCATCATCATGCCTCCAGCAGCTGCAGTGAGTGTTACTTAGGTGTGGCTTTGTCATACACAGGTATAACAAAGTGGAACATAAAACACAGTGTGGTACTGAAGAATGTTGTTGCGCTACAGAGATGTTTTCGTACTTCCTGGTCCAATGTTCCTACAGAAGTCTTGTATTTTAAAACCAAACTGCTTCTTCCTGCTGAACAAAAGCTCTTAGGGAAGAGCAGGGTGTGCACACAGGCAGTGCCTCTGCACACAGTCTGAGAGAAAAGCACATAGAGGGATTTAAATAGCTTACAGAGCTATTTGTCACCAGTACGACACGATGCTTCTCAAACTGGATTAGGACAAGAGACTAAAAGTTGTCTCATACCACTCACCTGAGACTCAAACTTGTCTTAAAACAACCTGCTAGCTTGTTTTAAGCAGATTCAGTGCAAAATTGCATACAGGTAGAGAAGAACTCAAACTTTTTGACAATACAGTGCTCTAGCAATTCTTTAGTGCAGTCTAGCCCAGACAAATTAATCTCTTGTTGGCAATGTTTAACAAGAAACTCTTGGTGATTTTTGTTTAATACACATTGAGGAAAAAGTCATTTGAAGCTATATTTATTTTATTAATTCTTTTTTGGAAAAATAAATCACTTCTTGTTAACTTTAAAAATATTTTTAAAAATATTTCTTGTCATCATGTCTGCTTTGTCTTTCTGCTGTGTTGTTTTGGTGAAGTTTTTAAAAAGTATCTCAAGGAAGAGATGCTTGGTTAAATTCTATACTCCATTACTTTGGGGGAAAGAAATGGTCAGAAAAATGTGTATTAAGTAGCTCATTAGCAAAGTAACAGAACTTTGTTCGTGTTCTCTTTGGTCACTTGCAAATTGGCATGCCTGTCTAGTTATGATGCTGCAAAAGGAAAATCCAGCACATGATTTTCAAATTCTTTCAATTCAAGACAGAAGATCCTGCACCTGTGGTACTGGGGTAATCAAAAAGGTGCTTGTCTTTTGGTGAAAAGAACAAAATATAAGCATGGTAAGCAATATAAGCCTAAAAATGAGCCCCAAAATTATGTTCTGGCCTTGCAAAATTGTCTTCTTTCCCTTATTCCAATAATCAGCTGATACCTACGAGCAGATCCCTAAAACCAAGAATAGATGTTTGAATGCACTTACTTTTGCTTTGTCAATACTGTACGTCAGCAGGGAATTGCAGCCCAGCATTTACATTGCAAGTGCCAGGCTGCTCCGGGCTGCTGCTTTGCTCTTTGACCGTGTTCCTCCTTTGAAGACGCTAACCCTGCTTGCTGGTGAGTTGCTGGGTGCTGGTGCCCTCAGCCCTGCCTGTGTTTGTCTTGTCATCTGCAGACAAGAAAAAAGCAGGCAAGTTCCAGCCTTTCAAGAAGTTATTTGGGAAACGAAAGAAGAGGGAACCTGTGTCAGATTGCGAGGAAACCAAACTGAAGCCGAGCCACTCCTTTGGAAATGTCTGCAATGGTACCTTCTCCTCTGATGAAGAGCCAAACACTGGGCTGAGGTAAGTGTGTGTGGGTCGGTGGAGCAGCCTATGCAAACACAAAGCTTCTTGCTTCTGCTTTTGGGCAGTGCTTAATGGCAGACGGTTGTGTGCTGGTTGTTAGGAAGCAGGTGCATCTCTTTGAACTTAGCACGTGCTGCTGCAGAAACTGAGATCTGACTTCTTGCACACAGTACTTGCTGTGCAGGTATACAAACAAGAAATCCCAGGGTTAAGCAGAAGTGAATTTGAATCCAGCTTCATGATTTAGAGTGTCTGAGTAGTAATATTATTGGCACCCCATGGTTTTAAAATTGGGGGAAGGGAACTTTGAGCTGACGGCTGTGGAAATTTTATTGCATTCTTTTTCCTGCAAGGTGGTATCTCTTGTTCAAATTAGAAATATCCTCTTTGAATCCATCCCTTTATGGTTTTTGCATTGTAATTAAACATGTTGCTTTTATTCTGCTCCTATCTGAATATAGAGTAGAAGAAGGAAGTGTGCGGAGAGATATACCTGTTAATCAGATCCTATTCCAATGGCAAGAGGGAATAGAAAGAGAGCTTGAGAATTTGGAGCAGAAATAGCGGGAGGGAGAGCATTAATAAAGTTCTCCATAGAAACTGCATGGAATTAATAAGTCATCAGTCTCTAACTAGATAGAAAAATGGCATAAAGAACAACAACAACAGAACAACAGGCAAACACAAAAACAAACCAACAACAGCAACAAAACAAAAGTAGCAGTAATAACAACAAAACAAGATGCACAGACTAAGTGGGTTCATGTTTCTTTGGAAAAAGAGAAACTGCAGTAGGGAGGGCATCAAGAAGCTGCACCGAATTGCCCTTCTCAAGAAATAAATGTGTATTAGAAATATGGCCTGCACATTATTTTCGGTGGTGCAGAATCCCAGTTGTGAAAATGTGATATTTAGGTATATATCCCATTTATCTAACTATCTATAAAGAGATTCTGTAAATTCTTGGTTTCCCCTGTTGGTTTCTGCAATGCAGTCTTCTATGCCTCTTTAGCCTGTCGAAACTTTTCAGTAAATCAAGTCTGAAGGTAGCTGCATTGTAGACAACATTGGTTTTCCAAGGAAAAGTCTCTCAGGAAGCATCAGTCTATTGAGTGTGCTGTCCATAAAATGGGATCTTTTTATTTGTAAATGCCCATCCAGTTCTCCATAATCCTCACAAAACGGTTTTCAGATCACCTTCATAAAATCATCTTCATTAAGATTTTCAGTGGTGAGTGGAGACAGGACAAGGGGAAACGGCCGGAAACTGCAGCATAGGAAGTTCTGCACAAATGTGTGCAAGAACTTCTTCACAGTGAGGTGACGGAGCACTGGAACAGGCTGCCCAGGGAGGTGGTGGAGTCTCCTTCTCTGGAGATGTTCAAGACCTGCCTGGATGCCTACCTGTGCGACCTACTGTAGGGAACCTGCTTTGGCAGGGGGGTTGGACTCGATGATCTCTGGAGGTCCCTTCCAACCCCTACAATTCTGTGATTCTGTAAGAGAAAATTACCTAAAGATTGTAATTGTTTCTCCATGCTATGGAATGCAGCATATGAAGATGTGAGAGATTTTATGATCTTGTAAACAACTTTGCTTAGTATTTGCTGTAACTTTGTCAGTATGAGCTGCTGTTAAGACTGGCCCTGAAACACCCAGCTCTTTGCCCTCACTGAGCTGTGCCAGACTGTGCAGCAGGTACTTCTCACCTAATGAATTCAGTTTCTTTTCTGCTTACGCATGCATAAGCGGTGTGATTTCTCAGAACACATTAGTTCTAAGCTATTTGCTTTTCAACCTGTATCCCTGTTGCCCTTGGTCAGATAATTTGTGAGATTGTATAAATGCATTGTTTAATTTTGATTATTGTGGAAGCCAGAAGCATTCCCTTGCAATTACGACAGTCATATCACTAAAACTTACACATTATCTTCCTTTGAGCACTGACATCTTCCCTGGAGCCCTCAATTCTAGAGATGTAAACTGGATGCTTGCAGAATTGAAGGAAAATCTTTGTAATATTTACCCAATGTCTGCACTTGAAGACGTTCATGTGGACTTAAGGCATAGAATCAGTATTTTGCACAGTTCTAATAATTAGATTGTGTAGATTAGTTAAATAAGGAGTAAACAGTTCATGGACCAGAGTTGAGACACGGTGCACAGCACGTTTTCAAGTTGTGTCATTTTTATTGGTTGTGACTGGAAGTTCCCAGGAGAAGCCACCCTGGGGTGGTGAATGCAGACACAGCAGCAAACAAATCAGACCACACATGCACAAAGCTGCAAGTTGTGTGAGCAGCAGGCTTCTGAGAGAAAAAGAAGACTCCTACTTTGCCACTGTTGGTCTTTTTCGACATATTTTTTGGAGAGAAAATAGCATGATAAAGATTATCATTTACTTAAGAGTTATTTGACCTTTACATTTTAATTTTGCATTACTTTTGGATTTCATGTCTGAATGAGCAAGAAGTGTACAAGCACAAATTTTCAAGCAGAGAAAGGGCAGGAAGCATAAATAACAATGGTCTAATGGTCTGAAATTTGAGAAAGAAACCTACAGAAAGTGGAAACAAATGGTGAATTACAGGGTTGTAAAGGATAAGGAAGAGTCCTTTTGAGCTGCTTACTGATGGGAGGACTAAGCAAAGAGTTCCTTTCACTGTAAGTGAGAATGAAATGATGGCAACAAGCGATTGCAATGAAAGCCACAATTTCAGTCCCTTTTTAACTTTCATCTTCAGTACAAAAGAAAAAAAAAAAAGGGAAAAAACCCCACATGCCCCAGTTGTACTTTTCAGTACTGTGTCTATTTTTAGTCTATGTGAACTTTGTTCCTATGAGTGCAGCTTATATTGAGTTTATGCATACATGGGTAGGAGTGTCACAGCTTTGAAAGAACACGTTTTCCAAAGAAAATGCTGTGGTTTTTTTTAGCAGGTACAGAAGGGGACCTGTATTCTTGTACTTGTTTTCACAGAAGTTAGAGGCAGCAGAGGTTGGTTGTGTGCTCGCCCACCCTTTCTGTGATTGTTTCCAGATGAGCATGTACTTCAGAAAACAGTGATTTTGTAAACAGTGCATTCGGCTCGGAAATTTCTGCAGGTAGTTATGGTCTTTTCCTTCCCCAGTAACAGCATATTATGTTAGGTCTAGGGAGTGATACAATTTACTCATTATTATTCACCTCTTTGATCTTCATTTTAGCTTCTGAGTATTTCATTTTCATTTTGCATTTCATATGAATGAGGACCAGCTCATCTGTGTCAAATATGGCCTTTGTTAACTAGCTGCTGATCAATGGCATTCAGTCCCACTGTCATAGAGGCCGACCTGAAAAATGAATGCAGTTACGCTTTTGTCATTTCTCAGGTGACTCTTGTTATTGCTATGGTAATTTCTTGACGTGTACCTTAAAAGAATGTGTGGTGATTGGTTAAACAAAGCAAAACATAACGATAGGAGAAACTGCTCGGTCTCTTTCTGGACTTCACATTGCCTTCTGAGCAAGCCCAGCCCCTACTGTGACGGCATGTTCTCCTTGCTGCTCACATTTCCTTGCCAGTTGCATGGGTGATGCAGTTCATGTGAACAGCATCTCTTATGTTACTTGGAGAGAGATAGTGAAAAGAGTAGGACAAGCGTTAAGGTCTTCTTTCCTTAGTGTTGACCTGTACTATCTGTACTTACCAGATTTGGTGCAGATGACAGTGAGCAGGATGTGAGGATTTATATTTCTGCTCCATGCCACCCCACAGATTTTGTTTAAAGCTTGATCCCAAGATACAGGAAGTCTGTTTTCAGTATCTCATTTAGATAGACTGTTATAAAGGAGACATATCAAAATACCTGTTGGCATGCAGTCTTTCCTAAAATTTCTAGAAGCAGCTCATTGTATTTTCAAGTCTTTTTAAAATAAAATTTTGTTTCTACTTTCAGCTCAAACTTGGAAGCCTAATACATAAACTTTTAATGTTTGTATTTATATATATATTTCTTATCTGCATGACTATTAGAGCATTTGATCTCATGAAAGTGATTCACCAACAGCTCAGCTGTTGAGTTTCTAAATGTGAGAGTGGGGAGGAGGAAAACCAACCACCTATAAGGTTACAGTTTTTGGAAATCTGCTTTGTCAAAATAGGAAGAATAAGAAAACTTTTATTTAATGTATTTTTTTTCCCCTTGTGAATGCCTGCCTTCACTGGGAATGCCTTAGATCAGTAGTGCTTGGTGTGCATCTTTTCCTGGAGCCTTCATATTAGCAGCACGCTGGTTGAATTAACCTTCATTCTTAAGCGAAGTGATGCATAGCCCTTTTAAGGCTTTTAGAAACAAAGCATGCTTGAATTTTCCTCACTTGTGTTAGCAGACACAGATCTATGTTGAACAAGTTTCTTATTTCTGGGTTATGAGGCATATCGTGGGAATGAAGGGATGATCCAGGACAGAGAAAATTGTGGCAAAGTGCAGCTTTGCTCTCACCAGTCCACTTGCATGTATTCATTACAAGTGATGGTGAAGCTAGGGTTGTTCCTTCTTTTCTCTAATTTATGTTGCAGCTGAGCAGCACAAGAATAGGATCCGTAAATGCTTTATGAGTGGCTATTTCTAATCTGTACTGAGTGGTAGGAAGATTGCAGAAAGCCTTCCTGAAACAGTTCCAGGTGTCTTTGCTGAACATAAGACATAAGTCTAACATCATGCTCAGCATTTTTCTTGGCACCTCAGCTCTTGTTTTTCTCCTCCTCTGTTACTAACTTCATTAAGTCTTTCTTTGTACTTTGGAAGCTCTGTTCTCAAGTATGAGAGCTAGGACTTTCTCCCTCCTGTTGCAATTTTGTCACTTATTAGTAGTTTGCATGCAGTATCTTTATTGTTTTTTTAGCCATCAGATATAAAGCTGGTTAATTAGGTACACCATCATTTGTATATGATTTTGAGATCTCTTCATTACACTTTCTCAGTTACTCAGTGCCCAACAACACATGTAGTGG